CTCCTATAAAGTACATCCTCAATCAAGACATAATTGAGAGCTTGCATTTTGGTTTTCCTAGATACCTTAATGCTTTGATCCTTAAGGTACTGAATAATTGGAAAGCGCCAGTCCGTCTGGGTAACATCAATGCTGCAAGTGGAAACAATCATGCCACGTTGATGAATTGATGGCAAACTGCGTTTTTCAACTATTACAACTTTCTGCATTACACCTTCAGGAATCCGCAGACCTGAAGCAATCTAGGCCATTTCATTAGCTTCATAATTCTGGTCTCTGGGCACATGTCTGATGGACACGTCATCAAATTCTTCCAGCAATTGCACAGCCAAGGCAAAATAAGGGGCTAAAGCAAGGCTAGTACATTTGTACTCACCAGACAATTACTTCAAAACTAGCTGTGAGTCCCCTATAACCTCAACCATGGATACTTTAAGCTCCACCAACATCTCAAGACCAATAATCAAAGCTTCATATTCTACTTGATTATTTGTGCAATTAAAATCCAGCTAGAAAGACATGTGTTTTCAACCCAGACGGGGAAATTACCACGACTCCAACTCCAGACATGGTTTCTGTACTGGATCCATCAAAAATAAGTTTCCAGGGAACTAAACTTATTGAAAACAAGTTAATCCCTTTGTCTTCATCTGCCTCCACGTCCAGACATGGATGATCTGCAAGAAAGTCTGCCAGTGCCTGCCCTTTGACAGCCCTCTGTGGTATATACTTCAAATTAAACTCAGACAAGGCCAAAATCCATTTACCTATTCGGCCTCTTAACAAAGGGCGGGACAACATATATTTGACAATATCAGTCTTGGCAACCACATACATCTTAGAATAAATCAAATAATGTCTTAATTTTATTGCAGCAAAAAAGAGAGCAAGACACAACTTTTCGACCGAAGAGTATTTCACTTCGGTCTGGGTCAAACATCGACTCAAGTAATACACAGCATGCTCCTGTTTCTTATCATTTTCTTGCGCCAGCAGACATCTTATGGACTCGTCTGCGGTGGATATATACAAAATTAAAGGCTTATTTTTCACAGGCGGTACAAGTACTGGTGGTCTGGATAAGTACCGCTTTATCATATCAAAGGCAGACTGGTGGTGTTCTTCCCACTTAAAATCCACCTCAGACTTGAGTTTCAACAGAGGAGAAAAGCCTCTGGTTTTCCAAGCCAAGTTAGAAATGAAACGTCTTAAGAAATTAACTTGGCCAAGAAATCTTTGCAACTCCTTCTTGTTCTGTGGTGGTTTCACCTCAATCACAGCCCTGGCTTTGTTCTTGTCAACCTCCAGACCACGCTCATGCACCAAGTACCCAAGGAAGTTACCTGCAGACACTCCAAAGGCACACTTAAGTGGGTTCATTTTCAAGCCATGTTGCCTCATCCGCTCAAAAGACTTCCTCAAATGAACCAGGTGGTCTGCTTCCCCATTTGATTTCACCACAACATCATCAATATAAATTTCCATGAATTTACCAATCATATCATGAAAAATTGCATTCATGGCTCTTTAATAGGTAGCTCCAGCATTCTTCAGACCAAATGGCATCACAACCCATTCAAAAGTTCTAACAGCACCTGGGCATCGAAAGGCTGTCTTAGGAATGTCTGCGTCTGCAATAAAAATTTGGTTGTACCCACTATGACCATCCATGAAAGATAGAATTTTGTGATGGGCTACTCCATCAATTAACAAGTCTGCAATTGGCATAGGATACTCATCCTTTGGTGTAGCTAAATTCAAGTTTCGGAAATCAACATAGACTCTTAATTTTCCATTCTTTTTCAGCACAGGCACTACATTTGACAGCCAGTCTGCATACCTGCATGTCCGAATGAATCCAACTTTTACCAGCCGCTCAATTTCTTTTTTCACCTTCAAAGTGACGTCTGCAGACATGTGTCTGGGCGGTTGTTTATACGGTCTGAATCCTTCTGCAATTGGCAGTTTATGTTCCACCAATTTCCGATCCAGACCTGGCATTTCTGAGTAATCCTAAGCAAAACAGTCTTTAAATTCATGCAAAAGTCTGACAATTTGATCTCGTGTCTGCGGCTCAAGAGAACAGCTGATAAATGTTACCTTTGGTTCACTTTCAGACCCTAGATTGATCTCCTCCAGCTGGTCTTGAACTTCAGCTTTTAAATCATCCAACTTGGCTGGGGCCAGATCCAGCTCCTCCAAAGTTATTTCATCACCTTGGTCTGCCTCCTCTCCTTCATGAACAATTGCAGACCTGTCTACTTGAACTGCTTTTTCAGCAAAATAGGCCGCTAATTTCTTTGTTATCTCCAACACGGCCTTTTCTCTTTCATGTCTCAGACGAGCTTGCTTCATTAAATTTCTTCAATTTTTAGTTTCCCCTTCGGCCTATAAGGAATTATTGTTGTTGGCCGAAGAAGTTCATCACAGACTTCCTCCACAGCACGCTTAGACAAAGACGGTCTGCTGCATGCTGTTATCCCAATCGGTTTCCCATGTCTATCCATCCCAAAAAACCGAATGGTACCAATGTCTTCTTCATAATATCTAGCCTCCACCAGGTGAGTGCTGGCTGAAAAAGGCTTATCATCTGCAGACACGACCTCAGCCTTGCCACCATTCCAGAAAATCAGTTTCTGGTGAAGTGAAGAAGGGACACACCAACTTGAATGAATCCAGTCACGCCCCAAAAGTGCATTATAAGTAGCAACAGTATCCACCACAAAAAACGCAGACATCAGTGTCCTATTTCCCACTGTTAATTCAACGGGCAGCACACCTCTTGAATGATTCACCCCTCCTGTAAAATCACTAATTGTAACCTCAGTATGCACTAAATCATCAAGAGACTTGCCTATTTTGTAG